GAGAAGCAGACTCCCTGCCGAGCAGGGAGCCCGATGCGGGACTTGATCCCGGGACTCCAGGATCATGACCTGAGCCGAAGGCAGTCGCTTAACCAACTGAGCCACCCAGGCACCCGTCGGGGAGGCTCCTCTTGATGCTGGCTTAGTCTGGGGGTAGTTGCAAGGCTCTGGGGGAAGCCATGGACGGGGGACCACTTGGCCATTTTCCCTGGATCCACTTGGTGAGTACTCACCTGGTGGTGTTTCTTTGTAAGGTGGGCTGTGCCCCAGAGTGTGTGGCACATTTTGAGGCCCAGGGTCTTCTCAGGCTTCTTGCCCCTGTATCTAGTCATTTGGTAGCTTTTCTGGTCGGTGAGGGCCCCCGTTTCACTGAGCTGTTGATTGCAATTTCGTCTTTGGTTGTCAGGCTGGCCCAGAGGCTGAGAGCCCATCTGGGAACAGTCCTGAAGTTCTGGAAGTGCAAGCTGTCTTGCGTGGTACCTGAGATTACTCAGCCTCTTCTTCCCTCTGCAGAACCCCAGGGAGTGGACCAAGAAGGTCATCAGGAACATCGCCTGCTCGGGCAAGTTCTCCAGTGACCGGACCATCACAGAGTACGCCCGGGACATCTGGGGCGTGGAGCCCTCCGACCTGCAGATCCCGCCCCCCAACCTCCCCAGGGATTAGGCACCCTGGCAATGGTCTGCTGTTTCTGGAGGGCCATGGGGATTGTGCTGGTGGCTTGGGGTGGGCAAGGAAGGAAAGGCTCAAAAAGGGAGATGCTCCCCAGTTTCCTGCGGGAAAGCAGAGCTCGCAGCCCTGCGCAGGGCAGCTGGCCCCGCAGCTTTAGCTCACCTGCCCCAAGGAGGTGGGGAAGGTGGAGCCACTGGCTGGGCTCCTCTGAGACCTTGCACACACCTTGCAGTGAGCTTGTTTTTAGTTTTGAGCCTCTGGATTCTGGGGTCTGGGCAGGTAGCTGTGGCAAAGCCTGGGGAACTGTTTATTGCACCGCACGTGCTAGCCCGCTGTGTGGGCTCCCGGCCTCCTGGCCGTGCTAGTACTCCGGCCAAGTCTGCAGCTGCTGTGTGGGTGCTCTGGCCCAGGGTTTCCAGACTGATCAGATAAAGGGGCCCTAGGATGACTGAGGGGGACTGGGGAGGACACCTGTGCCCGGCATCTAGGGGTCCTTGGCTAGGACAAGGCTGACTGATGCAGTTAGCTTGGTTTTGCTTTTTCAAAAGGATAATCAGCTTCCCAGGGAAATGAACGTAGCTGAAGCCTTTTCTTGTTTTAGCAACTAAAAATTGTACTTTTGAAGTTTTGTGCTGGGGAGGCAATGCTGGGATGTGTTGCCGAGCCCTCGGGAGCCCAGGGTGGGGCGCTGCCTTTGCTGGAGAGGCCGAGTGCCCCTGCCGTGTCCTGGGGCCAGCCTCCCTTCTCCCTCCATTTCCACCAGTGTGACCGCCTTGGAAAGAACTGAGCAGGCCCAGAAGGGAGCCCACTTTCCACTCTGCCTGGATGGCAGGCTGGTGGCGGGAAGGGTGGGTGAGCCTCTCTCAGCTGAGAGAGCCAGGGAGCAGGCTGGTGCGCTTCACCACGGGCTTAATGGAGACACGGGGGACAGCACCCTTCCAGGGGCTCTGCCTCCTTGCATGCTGGATCTGGATGGCACAGGGCTCTGCCCTCACCCCGGGTCCTGATGGCTCATAGAATCAGGCCATGGAGGATTTGCTCACGTGCGCACTTCACCAGAGCTGTGGAGGTCTGCTGGGGAGGCCCACGTTCTGGGGCTGTGGTCATACCCCCGCCACCTTCCGCTACCCCATTTCTTAGGCTGTGTGTGACCATCACTGTGCCACTTGCTGTTACTGCCTTGTGTGAGAAACCGATTAAACCTTCCTGCCTGTGCTTGGTTGAGCTGGCCTATGTTTCATTCTGTGCCGAGGGCAGGGTGCGGGCTGGGTTCCAGGGGCAGGCCTCAGACTCTCTCTCGTAAGGGCCCATCACTCTGGGATTAAGGACAGACCAAGCTCTCCCATCCCAGCTGCAAGTGGGACTTAGGGTATGTGTGTTTGAACCACTAGCTCGTAAAAGAATCATCACATCTGTTGTATAAACTGTCATCTGGGTGTCGGCATTGTTGGTGCACACTGCACCTGTCCTAGGCCAGCCACTCCTGGCCCTTGGACATGGAATGCCCTGGGGACCAGAGCATCGCCCCCCCCCCCTAAATTGTGTTGCTGCAGGCTGAATTGAAAGCCAGGAGGGACATGAACTTGGGGCTGTTACCCGAACAAGCTGAGACCTGTAGAACACCGGAGCACCATGGGCCCTGCTGGTCTTGGGTGGGGGCTGGGGGCGGGGGGAGGGCGCTGAGCAGCTCTCAGGACACCCGTGCTTCCAGGAAACACATAGTAACTGCAGAATTTTTAGCTGTGCATGTCTTGATCTGTTTTTTTTTTCCCCCCAAAGACTGGTTTTGCAATCAGCAGAGGTCTGTCCTAGCCCACAGTTTAAGCTTCGTTAATAATCTAAGAGGCCAGCAGGTGGGGGCATCTGGACCTGATTAGCCAACCTGATGGCCCAGCAGCTCACCAGCCCCTTCGGTGCTTTCTCCTCTTCAGTCTGCTTCAGTCTGCCTGTCAGACACCTATCAAAATACCAACAGCCTGTATTTTACTTACTTACTTCCTGTCTTATCTCACCCCCCCCAATAAGGACCTGCGGCGGCTCACACACATGAAACAGGATGACAAACTGACCTCAGGAGAGTTGGTTCACGTTTCAACCCATTTAAGAAAGGCATGGTTTCCCCGATGTGAGAATCACTGTAGGCAAGTTGAAGATGCCTCAAAAATGAGGAGGTGTCCCCTGCCTTGGCATCTGGGCCCCCCAGCCTGCCCACAGCTGCTACTAGAGACCACAGACCTTGAAGAACAGGCAGGCCGGCGAATGAAGCCCTCTGTACACCCCGGGGAATTTCTGAGCTGCCAAGACAGGACTTGGGAGAAGTCCAGCCATCAGGAGAAGTGGGTCCCAGGTGGGCTTGCATCCTCTGTTGTGTGTCACGCCTCTGTACCTGTGCTGCAGGGGGTGGACAGTCCTCTGGGGGGGCAGCTTGAAACCCCCTTTCTTATTGAACCATGCACCTTCTCACTCTCGGGTTACTTAGCTGGCATCTAAGAATCTGGCCCTTCACCAGCACTGGGGCCAATGAGAAGCAGGATCTTTAGAGGGTGCCAAGTGGGGGCAACAGAAGTGCAGGGAAGGAGGGAGCAGAAGAAGTGCAGGGGAGACTAATTTGACAAAAAGCTGAAAAACACAAGAGCCCCCCCCCCCCAGTGAGTGAACGAGGTGGTGCTCGTGGGCTAGAACTAGAGACCCCCACACTCTAGTGCCCCATGTCCTTCCATGAACTCATGCCAGGGGCTCATTTGGGGTCTATGGGTAAAACCCCAGAGCCTGCCGACCGATACCAACATCCAGCAAGCTTGCTACAGCGTGAGGTTGAAGGGGGCCTATATTTTAGGAACACGCCCTCTGTCCCATCTGGAGAAGTGGTCCCCCCCTTGAACACACCTTGTCCTGGAACGACGCCCCTCCTTGCACGGGCCTCCACATCTGGAAAGGAGGAGGAAAGGAAGGCCCAGGATCCCTGGCCTTACAGAGCTGCCCCTCCTCCCACAGGCTGGGCTCTGAGTATGGCCTGGGGGCAGCTGGACGTGTCACTGAGAACACAGCAGATAGACCACCACCACGATTTTATTCTTAAATAAATGCTCAGTCTAAGGCCAGGTTAGGCGGACAAGTGGGCAGAAAGTGGAGGAAGTGCAGGTCACAGGCACCTCCCCCACTGTGAGCAGTGGGGGCCTGCCCGGAGAGACAGGAACCGCCAAGGTAGGCAAGCAGGGTGCTCCGGGTGCGAGGGGCTGACGGAACCATTCCAGTCCATTCTGCATGTGCCCGGAAGGGACAGAAGAACTCATCTGGCCACAATCTCACTGGTGGTGCTGGAAAGCTCAGTGTGGTCCCGAGACCCCACGCCTCCTGCCCCGGGCTCCCCATGCCCAGCTCAGCAAGCGTGGGATTGACCAGCTGGCAGCTGGCCTGCTCTGTCACTGTCTTCCCAATAAGAGCTCAGGTTGAGTGGCAACAAAACGGAGAGGGGATCCCATGCCTGCAACCTGTGTTTTCCACAAAGATCCAAGCTCCCAGCCACCCAAGGCAGGTGCCTCAGGTCTGCCGGGCCTCCTCCGCCTGCCCCAGCTGACATCCGAGTCCTCTCTCCGGGGGCACTGAAGACACTGGCAGCCCTGGGCCCCAGGGTGCCAGGCTGGCCGGAGCAAAGGGGAGGAGGGCAGAGGTCTTCATGCTCCTTCAGGCAGCAAGACTCAGTGCTGGCGCCCGGGTTCTGACTTCCCCAGGAATTCCCTAGACGAGACGAGCACAGCCATCAGCCAAACCCTGAGCATACGCCCGAGGTCTTGCCTCCTCCATCCTCAAACAGCCCATCCCAGGAGGCTGAGAAGGAGCCTGGAGGACCACCCCCACTCAGAAAGCCTGAGTTAAATAAGCAGGGTTAAATCCCAACCCCATAGGAAGAAAGACCAAGCAATGGGCTACTATTCTTTGTTCTAAACTCTACAGCTGTACTCTGGGCTATATTTTCTATGACATTCCTTTATGCTGGAAAAATCACAACCCTAGAGCAAACCCATACTCTTTGAGCTCACAGTCCCCTCTCAGCAACCCGGGTCCTTGATGTAGGAAATGGCAAACCACGAAAGAAATGCAGCTTTCCCTCTGGAACTGCTGAGGCAGCCACAGGAGAGCTGAAGTGTGACAGCATAAAATGCACTGAGGGCCCATTCCAACTCCTCCAGGCTCAGCAGCCCTGGGAAGACGAACTTGCACCATCCCCACCTCAGCATCCTGCAGGCCACATGGCCAAGAAGTGGCGGGCTGTCTGTGCCTGGGATGGGAAGCAAGGAGGCCGGGCAGCACCTGAGTGATGGAATTGGTCCCTGCACAAAAGCCCAGGCTCCCGAGGCGGGGCTAGGCCTCATCCAGTTCAAACTGCCCTTTGCCACCATCTCACCCTCCATGCTTGGGCTCTGCACCTGGGCCCGGGATGTGGGCCATGGACCCAGCCGCTGTCCTGGCCCCAGACCATGACAACTGTAGCAGAGCTGGGAGCACAGCCTCTTTTCACGGAGCAGCTGAGGACAAACCGGCTTTTGAGAGCTGGCCCGGAGTCTCCCGTGTGCCTATGCACAGGGGCAGGACCTGACCCACAGCAGCTGGGGTGCGTGTCTGCACGCTGGATGCTCCTGAGTGGCGTGTCTACGCAGCCTGCACAGCCCACACCACAGGGAAGTCACTGCCCTGTGTGATCACGGGAGTGCTTCAGGAGAGAGGGGCCATAAACACGCAACCCCTCTCCATGGAGACGGAAGGCTCCCGAGTCACAGTGACTCCTGGCCCCACCGAGGCAGATTTGGGGGGAACGCGTGCCTGGCCAGGGCGAGTCTGTGGAGAGGGGAGAAGCCTCACCTCAGTATTCGTGGAAGCTCAGGGCTCTTGTAGATATACTTGTGCCTGTAGCCGAGGTCTGAGTGAAAGGGGATAAACTGAACTTTGAAGTCTCGGAAGCTTCGGGATGGAGCAGCGATGTTGTAGAGCTGGGACGAGGGAGAGACAGGTCGGCACCACAGATGGCAGCCCTGCCTGGTGGTCTCCCTGCTGCAGAGACCGGTCAGCGGCTGCTGCCTCTGAAGAGCAACCCAAGCCCCCGCCAACAACACTGCTGCCCGCAGCCTGCAGGGCCAGGGTGGGGGGCACGCGTACGGACAGGCCTGATGCTCGAGACCCTCTGTCCTAACGCCTCTCCCAGGCGGCGCCTCCTCAGGGCGCGGCAAGGCGGACGAGCCAGCCTCGTGGGCAGAGCTGCCTGCCATGCAGTGGTGTGGAGGCCTGCGTGCTAGAGCAGCCCGGAGGGCTCATCCCAGGGTTGGGCCGTCTGCCTCAGACTTCGCCGTGTGCCTGGGTCACGATCTGTCCTTCCTCAGTCCCTTCCTCCCACCCCAGAGATGGCCGGGCTCTGCAGGTCTGAGCGGTGGTTGCTGGGCAGTCCCCTGTGCCCGGACTCACTGGAGGGAGGGGACTTGGTCCTGCTGGAACCCAATGGCACCCGGGCCTCACTCCCTCCAGGCTGACCCTGCTCCTCACCGTCGCCACGCCAGATGGTGCTATCTCCCGCAACACTCACCCACAAACCAAATGCTGCTTCCTGGCAGCAAAGGCAAAGCAAACTCAGCAAAAGCAAACACAGAGGCCCCACAACAGCATGGTATTCCTGACATCAGTCCCATCCCAAAGGCAAGAGAACAGACAAGAGGTTCTGTATCAACTCTGCCGACTGGGGCCCCCGAATGGGGGTGGGGGATCCTCTTCCTCAAGGGTTCTTTCCCTCCAGCCTGGCTCAGTACCTGGTAGTCAAGTCTCTGTCAGGCCAGGACCCCTGCACAGGGACCGGGAGCCATCTGCTTATTTCTCATGTTTCCTCTTGCCATCGAATGTACTGGTGAAGAAGCCCACACCCTCTAACTTACCTTTGCTGATAAGACATCACCTGTTGGCCCCCACCCCGACCCTGCTGCTGACCTCCCCCACGCTTCTCTTTTTCACAAGGGGCACCTGGCAGCAGCAGCACCCCTCCACACCCGCGGATGCCCGGCCCAGCCTGAACGGGAGCCGGCTAGATGCCTACCCGCCCTAGGGCTGGCACCTGGCTCTCACCTTTCGGCCAAGCTGGAAGGGCACGACCGGGTCGTCCTCAGCGTGCAGGATGAGCAGCGAGCAGGAGATGTGCTTCACACTGCGGGAGGAGATGGAACTGGACCAAGGCCCCGGGGAGAGGTCTGGGGTCTCTGGGCCCACCTGGGTTTAGTGGGGGCTTCATCATGGTGCTCAACAGCTAGAACTCAACTGGCTTTTCATTAGAGAACTATAAGTAGATTCCTCAGATGTTTCTACCACCATTCAGTCAAGTCTAGAGATCGATTCATTCACCAAATCAGGCCCCTGCGTATTTTTTGGAAATTGAAAATGATTATTTTTGCCACTAGACCTATTCTTTAAAAGTTACAGAATGATATTTACAAACCCAATAACAGAGGTGGCCCAAGAAATTAATTGCAAATGAAGGTCACTAGAAATGTGTTGGTAAAAAAGCCCACACCCTCTAACCTGTCTTCATTAAAAATGACATTTAAGATCACCCTGAACGTTTACAAATAAGTCGACATTTTCAATAGGTTCACATGATCCAAACCAACCAGCAAACCACGGATGGGCTGTGGGACTGGACAGGCCCTAGAGTGTCTGGCCTCCCCTCACTGAGCAAGCCCGGCACCGGGCAGGACCTGGGCCAGGAGGCTCGCCACCCCACGGACCCAGCCCGTCTGGCGACCTGTACTTCTGCTTGCAGCACACACATGCACTCTCTCCCTGCATTCTGCTTCTAGCGGGGAGCACTTCTGCTGCGAGGGTCACACTTTGACAGCGGAACAGCCCATCTTTTCAGGATTTCCACTGTAAGTAGTCTGTCCTAACCCTGACCCACTCTAGAAAAGGCCTAGTTCACGTGCTGTCATCTTAGAGCTACCCAAGTGGGGGCTTGTGACTTCCTATGGGTGAAATACTGCCATCCCCTCAATGCTCAGCCGGGAGCAGGGCCAAAAGGCGGCTTTGGGGGCCTCAACACTCACTGTGTGCTTGCTGTTGGAACCCAGTTTCTTCAGATAATTCTTGAAGTTCCAAAACAATATTTATAAACAATCAGGTTTTTTGCTTATGTCTGTTCAGTTTTAGTTTGTTCAATTTTTAGAACAAAAACAAATAATTAAAGGGAAAAATATTCCATTTTTTCACATTTATTCCAGAGTGTAGATTTTTAAATGTTAACTGAATATTTACTTTAAGATTTATTTATTTGGGGGGGGAGGGGCACAGGGAGAGAATCTTCAAGCACACTCCCCACAGATCCCATGACCCTGAGATCAAGACCTGAGCCGAAACCAAGAGTTGGTCGCTCACCTGACTGAGCCACCCAGGCACCCCAATAGAAATATATTTTAAGATTTTATTTATTTGTCAGAGAGAGAGTGAGCCAGAGCACAAGCAGGCAGAGGGAGAAGCAGATTCCCCTGCTGAGCAGCGAGCCTGATACGGGGCTCGATCCCAGGACCCCAAGATCATGACCTGAGCCGAAGGCAGCCACTTAACCGCCTGAGCCACCCAGGTGTCCCTAGAAATATTTTTAATAGTGAACTTTGTAACATCTTTCTACAACCGAACAGAAATCAAACAGCTGAGGCGGTGTCATTGTTTGAGTAATAGTCCCCTTATTGCTCTAGAACCTGTCACGAATTCTGATTCTGATGGACAAGTTTCAAATAAAACAACCACAGGGACATGTTGTCTTCCTGTTGCTTTCATGCCACCACGGCCTTTTCCAATCCCTTCTCTCTCGGCTGCAGCTCTCGGCCTGACTTGCCCTTTACAAAGGTCTGATGGTTAGAGAAGAACCCCAGTATGCAGAATTCCATCCTATTTGGTTAAGGTGACTAGTCCTGGGGGTTCTCAGTGATTTTTTTAAATTGAAAAATGAGGTATTGGGGAGCCTCAGTGGCTCAGTTGTTAGGATCGAGCCCCACATCGGGCTCCCTGCTCGGCGGGAGGCCTGCTTCTCCCTCTCCCTCTCCCCCTGCTTGTGTTCCCTCTCTTGCTGTGTCTCTCTCTGTCAAATAAATAAAATTTAAAAAAAAAACTTAAAAAATAATATAGTAAAAAAAAAAGGAAAAATGAGGTAAGCAGAGTACTCACTTTTCATCATTTGCAAATTTAATTCCACTGCTTGTAATGGGGTCAAGGAAGAACCAGTCAAACCCAGGAAAGTATCGATATATCTGAAAGCGACATGGAAACAACGTGCAGAAGCATCAATTAAAACAGCCACAGAGAAGGCCGAGGTCGAGGGTTCAGACAGAGGGTGCTGAGTGCCCAAGAGTCTCCCCAGCTTCCGAGTGGACCGACCTGAGGCCCCACCAGAGCTGTGTTGGGGCGCCCCGCTGCCCCAGACTCTGTGCTTAAGAGGCTTCCGAACTGGCCACGCGTGGCTGCCCACAAAATGGGCTCCCACAGCTCCCAGCAGCAGCCGGGCAGGACCGGCTCAGAGACCGTACTTCCCACAGATGCGAGGGCTTCCACCCCTGGAAAAACAGGGGTCCATGTGACTTGGGAGTAAAGCAACATCAAAGAAGTAAGACTATAGAGGACTCCTCCTGTCTGCAACAGTGCACCATGAGGTCAGGTGGGGGGCCAACACAGGCCCCCAGAACGGGTGGCCAGCCAAAAAGCAGTGGGACAGAAGAAGACACAGAGGAGCCCCCTCTGGGCCCGGCTTGTAAAAGGAGGGTCTCAATCCTGGCAGGTGAGGAGGGTCTCAGTCACCCTGGGATCCCCACCAGGGTTCACCTGGGGTGTCACCTGGAGATACGACTGGGAGAGCCTGGCTGCTGAGCACCATCCATGCGGACAGGGAACAGGGATGCCCACTGGGTCCATGTCTGCGGAAGCAGCCAAGACAGCAGCTGCCCACCTGGGCTGAGCCCCGCGGGGCAAGGATGCCAGGTCAGCAAACCACGCCTCAGACGCAAGGCCTCCCGGGGGTCCTGCTGTCCCTGGACAACCCAGCTGTGAACCCGTCCTTCCGCCTGACTGCAGAGTTTTAAAATTCCCAGGCAGCTCTGTGGTCAGGCCAATGCCCTGCACTAAACAAGGATTAATTTTTATTTTATATTTTCTTAAGAGTTACCTTGATAGTAATTATTTTAATAATAAAAACAAGTCAATTTTTAATAAGATCTGTACTTGCCACTGAGAACGGATGGCTCTTAGCTTCTTCACGTATATTAGTGAATGGAGATTCCAATATAAGGGCATCTGGAGGTGTCTCTAGATAAATAAACAGGGGGCTGTGAGGTGAACAAGAAGCCCCCACGGACGCCCATGGGAGAGACTGGTCCCCCAGACTGGACTGTGGATCCCAGGTGCCCCCCCAGCCGCCCCCCCCACCCCCCAGCCAGCCTTGCCCCACAGGCCCTTCTGCACGGTAGGTACCTAAGAAGGGCCCACACAGGGGACTCTCAGGTGGCTGTGATTTGCTCCCAAGAACCACATTTACTGAAGCTGTGTATCAGGAGCTCAGCCCTGATAAGGCTCTCCCAGCTGCTTGAGAACCCGTGGGGAACACAGGCTGGGGTCTGCTGGGGGTTTACCCAGACCCTGGCCTCCAGGCCCAGCCCACAGGGCTCCGAGATGACACCAAGCCCTGTTGCTGTGCTGCTCGTCCATCAGGGCCCACCTCCCAGGAACCCACAGCGGAGCCTGGGGCATGGCGTGTGCGCGCAGACACACTGCGTGCCCCGCCCGAGCCCTGGGACCAGGAGGGGCCCATGCCCACCCAACCAGGACTCACACCTCCACACAAGCTCCTACCTCGCTCGCAGAGGCGCCGCACCAGATTTGTTGCCACTCTGAAAAGGGAGGAAGAAACAGTTCAGGTGAATGACGACCAAAGTTGTCTGAGATGAGAGTGTTCTAGTCTTGTAAGTGACCAGAGAAGCTGTGGGGTCTGTGAAGCGGCTGGTGGGGTTTGGGGCTGGGGAAGGGTGTGGACAAAGATGCCCAGGACCGTGACTGGGCCCTGCTGCCCCTGCCATCAGCCACGCTCTCCGACTAGGATGGCAATGACAGCCCCCGGGCCTCTTGCCATCCCAGGACCATACTGGGCAGGTCCCATGCAGATGGCTGTGGCAGGATGGCTGCTCCCGCTCTGCCTGGGCCCCTCTCTGTTGTAGGCACGCAGCTCACTCTCCCGGCAGGCCCCATCCCAACTGCCACATGCCATCCAAGGCGAGCAGCAAGGGGAGGAAGAAGCCACAGCCACGGCACCCAAAGGAAAGGCCACTGGAAAAGAGATGGCTGCTGAAGGCCTCAGGACTCCGGGCACTGACAGCAGCACTCCTTTTAGAAACGCTCTCAACCTTCCATCAGCAGAAGCGATTCAGGCAGCCCCAAATGGCATATTAAACTGCCTCCCCCATCTTGGCAGATGTAAGAAGGGAACCACCCACTGCTGCCTCCCCTAAGTTCTCTGGTAAGCCAAGTACAGACTAAGTGGCCAAGCTGTTCACAATCGTCCCTAGTCTGCATGTGATCAAAGCCCGGCCCTCAGGCTTGCCAGCCAGCACCTGCACGCCAAAGCCAGGCAATGCAAAGCCCAAGTGCCCAGTCTCATTCTGCTCTGAGGACATCTCCCTGAGGCACATCCTGGGACTGAGATGAGTGTGCCCCTCCTCCCTGCAGAGGGACATGGCCACCCCACAGCTGCCTGTGTGTGTGTCTCAGGTCACTTCTTCGGCTGAGGAGTTAAAGTAGCTCAAGCTCTTCATGGTCTTTTGTGGCACTTCATCCCCTGCCCCCACCATGGGAATGAGGGACAAGGCTTGTTGGGACTCATGGTGTCATGGGATCCAGAAGCCACGAGGGCACTTTTGGAGGGACCTGGTGAAATGCCCCATGAAGACCTGCTTCCCCATGGATCCACCATGCTGTGAACTCACCCAGTGCCTAGGGAATGACCCCAAATATACACGGGGTTGTCTCCACTTCTTGCTTTGATCCAGTCAAAAACATGAAGTGCGTCATACGTCATGCCTCGTTCCGATGGCGTTCCTACTGAGTCACCCCAACCTGGCGGGGGAGAAGCAGCAAGAGGAGGAAGTCAAACCCAGCCCATGGAACCTCTTGAGGGGCAGGCTCATCTTCTCCTTTCTCAACAGGCAGCCTAGGCCTGTCCTGGGCAACAGAAGTCTCTGCCACCATCATTCACAACCCTATGCGAGGGGTGTCTGGACAAGCCTGCTCCTACTTCTCCTACTTCCTCAGCCAGCTACAACCCCCGAACCCAGACAGCCATCCATACACCCTTATCTAAGTCCCAAAGAACAACTGTGCAGACAGGGCAGTCAGACCCACAGACTCCTGTGGGCAGATGGGACAGCAAACTCCCCAACCGTTAGGGCTTGCTGGTAGCTGGCCCAAGATGAAGGGCCAGTGACACCCTAGCCTGCCCAGGAGCCCCTGCAGAACAGGAGCATTCCTGGGGGCGGGTCCCTGAGCCCAGTTTGGATTCCATGGCCAGCTGTAGCCCAGCTAAAGACAGATGTGGGGAGTCAAGCTGGGGGTGGGGGCAAGATTCCAGGCTCAAGGCAACTCTGACCCAGAAAGGGAAGAGGCTGTTAGAATAGCAGAGAAAAGTTAACCATCTCTGCCTCAGACTGCATCCTCCCCCAGGGCCCTCCCCCCAGGCTCTTGGAAAGGGTAAGTGCCACTGTCATTTCTAGCAACTCAGCAGTGAGTCATCATCAAATGATCTGAAAGCACCACAAGGCTTAGAGCCAGTTCTGCTGCATAAGCAAAACCCACAATTAGTGGGCACAATAAACCACCTCCCCTGGGCGTCCCAGATGCCAGATGAGGGAAGGGACTATGTGAGAGACAAGGCCATCCTGAGAGATTCAGGGTGTGGATAGGAGGAAGGGACACAGAGACAGAGACTGGGAGAAGTGGAGCTTAGAAATGCAGAGACTTGAGGAGAACCGAGGGATTTCACTTCCTGGTAGAAGCACAAGAAGGTAAACAAGGAAGAAGGCCGCTCTTTCTATCACCCTGAGGTCTCTAGCAACCTGCAGGAACAGAAAACCCTTTTAGCATGGAGAAAAGGATAAGTGGGTGAACTACTTTCTAGATCCTGATCTGTAGTTTTCCCCAACCCAGAATTTGCAAATAGTCTTCTATGAAAGAGCCATCCCTGCAGCAGGCAGGACCACCACCCACCTCCCCCCAAGAGGTCTGTGTGCTCATCCCTGGAGACTGTAAATATGTTAAATTATGTGGCAAGCACAGGGCGGGACTGAGGCTGCAGAAGGAAATGAGGGCACTGATCAGTGGACTATGACATGGGTGATTACGGGCTTATCAGCGTGGGTACAAAGTAATCACAATGGTCTACTGGACAAGTGAGAGAGGAAGACCAAAGTCAGGGTCAGAAAACAGACTCAAGAGGCCATGAGCTGAGGCACAAGGACAGCTTTGAGCAGTTGGAAAAGGCAGGGAACTGGATTCTCCCACAGCACCTCCTGAAGGGCCTGGCCCTGCCAACACCTGGATTTTAACCCAGCAGCTAAAGATTTTGGACTTGTGACCTCCAGAACTGCAAGATAGTAAGTCTGTGCTGTTTGAAGACATCAGGTTTGTGGCAATTTGTTACAGCAGCAAGAAGAAACTAACACGACACCCGTACCCTCGGTTTGAGGGTATGGACACCACTACCCTCCCCTAGTAGGTCAGGCTAAGCAGGCCAAGCAGGCCAAGCAGGCCAAGCAGCCCTCTGACCTCTGACCTCTGCCGCTGAGACTATAGGAGGCCCATGCTTCTCACAGGGCAGCTCCCGGTCAGTACAAAGTATTTTCCTGGCTCATTAAGGTGCACTGTTTTTAGCCTACAATAACTGCAGGTTCTCTGTCTATTCAGCGGCAAAGCCCTCTGATTCACTCAAGAAAGAAAAAGTACTGAGGGTCAAGGAGAAGAAAGAATCTTCCTTCTCTCTTAACAGTTCTTTTTCCTGCTTTCAGAACTTTAACAAGACCAGCTCTTCTGCCCACAAAACGTGTCCGACGACCAGCTTTGGGGGAGTCTGAGTCCAGTAAAGAAAAGACAGTATTTTCTACATTTAAAACGTTGTTGAGGGATGCCTCTCGTCTGCCTGCAGGACACACATGGGAGGACTCTGTCCCCTCACCCCCTTACTACCACACTCGCCATCGCTGCAGGTCAGGGCACCACCTCGGCTTCCCAGGGTGACGCCTGCACAGCAGACCCTGACAGGAGCGGTGCGACAGCCCAGACTCGCACTTGCAAAAGAACTCACCTCTGTAGTCAAAGGTGACCACATGGTAACCAAGGGAACTCAGCACCTGGAAAGTGAAAAATAAATACCTGGGCAACAAATCCACACATCTTGGATTGAGGGCAGCTTGCCTCTTACTAACCCAGCCTGATGTCAGTCTTTGTGTCCTGCACACAGTGGGAGCTTAATAGACTGTTATGACGCTGCCCATTCCCCATTATAAAACCCACACGTCGGCCGCTGCTATTCCCCATTCCCCATTATAAAACCCACACGTCTCAGCCGCAGGAGAGCCGTTCTTTCCATATCCCGGAGGCAGAGGGCATCAGCGGCCCTCTGCCTCTGGGATATGGAAAGAACGGCTCTCCTGAGGCTGAGACCACATTCAGACCACAGGCTCACAGGTAGCCCCCCCAGGGCAGACACCCTGAGACCAGAGACCCAGGAAGAGGGGCTCTACGGTCAGAGACTGCATCCGGGATCCTTACTGCAACCTAGCATTTCTGACTGTAAGCTTTCGCTGAATTTTTCCATTATTAAAAACAAAATCCCTCTAGATGACGTGATCTCCTGGACTAGATGATTACTCACAGCCCCCACCTGAGCCTTCCTGGGGTGTACCCAGAGCCATGTGGAAGCGGCCAGCCACCAACATCCCCCAAAATCACCTGAGGGAGGTGTGCCCCTTTCTCCTTCGCTGGCCCCAGTGCAGCCTGTGGCAGCTGCTTCCCTCCAGCCCTGAGCCTCCCGCAGAGTCTGCCCCCACCAGGGCCACAGCTGCTCCAGGTGCGAACCTCAACCGGGGACCACAGCTCTGCAAGCGCACCCCCTCCCCAACTTGATCCAATTCAATCGAGGCACAAACACTCCATGGCCCATAGCAGCGCCTGTCCTCAGTGTATGAGGGACAGAGTGGTGCCCACAAGATGCAGATGTTCCCTTGCATTTGCTTCTGTCCGTCTCTGCCAGGTTAGCCAATGCAGGCGTCCATCCCTGTGAGGGGAGGCTGAGGGAGATGGCCCTGGAGGGAACCACACATTTCCGGCTCTGAGCGCCTGGCTGGGAGACCCACTGGCCCCTCCACCAGGTCAGCCTGGAATCTGGTTCTAAGGTGAGACTTCAGTGTGGCAGAGCTCCTGACCCTGCAACTTGGCAGGAGTGTGGCTCCCTGGCCCTGGGTGCTCTCCATTCGTTTTACAAGAGAAACACAGCATTTAACAACAATTTCAAATGCCTTCAATATAACTGCCAATATCTGGCATATGATCCCCAAAGTGCATTCCTTCTGCTTTCGGCAGCTCTCCCTGGAGGCAGCATTATAGGAGGCACTATATGCTTTTATTATATATGCTTATATATTATTATATTATATATATTATTATATGCTTCTTATATAAGCATTCCATGGAGAAGGCAGTGTTGGAAAGGCCAATGCTGATCAACCCTCTCACAAGTACTGGAGGCACTCCCCTCTGTACATGCCTCCTGGGAAGAGCAGGTGGGAAATACCACTTGGGCGATGAGCTTTCCTTCCTATGCCATGTGGATACCACTCTCCCCTCATACACACTATGTATGTGACTCTGCTCTTCATATACCCCCTGTACACAAATCTGCCCATCGACACCTTGTGAATGCCACTCTGCGTGTTCTACACTGTGTGCGCGCCGCTCTCCCATCACCACACTGTGTACGCAGCTCTCCTGTCATCACACCGTGTACACAGCTCTGCCCCATCATACAGCCTATGGACACCCCTCTGTCATACATTGTGTGCCATCTTCACCTACCTTGTAAAGTTCCACCCGGTGGTCACCTCCTCTAGAGCGTCAGGGAAAAGGAAACAAGAATGGGTGTTAGCACATCTTCTCAAAAAGGCCGGCCCCAGGGTCAGTACTGGAGTGTCTGGGTCCTTGGTGACTTGGTCCCCAAGTCCATACAGGGAGGGTTATTGGGGGACAGGTGACCTCCTCTGCAGGGCATCATAGTGGCTCCATGCTTGTTTCTGGCAGTACCGTGACAAGCAAGGGATAGTGTTAGCATTTTGGGGATATTTCTTAATTACTGCCTTACTTCTATTTTTGACTAGCTAATACATAGGTACAATACACAATCCAGAAGACACAAGAGGATACACAGCAAGCCCCCAACTCCTGCCCAGCACGTAGCCCCTGCCTCAGCTGCCTGGTGACCAGCAAGTAGGCAGAAGTGAAGGCGCTTCTTTATACGACATACGCACTCTACTTTCTCTCACTTTTCACTCAGTAATTCACAGCCAACTTCCAAGACTCTTTTTAGCGGTGGTTCACACCTTCCTTATCTTGCAGTCATTCTGGCCCTCTCCTACCTGCTGTGAACCTAAGTTTTACTGCCATGGCCAGCTCGTGCTGATGTCCTTTTGCATAAGTGTGCTCCACGTGTGGGATACGTTCCTACACACTGAACTGCTGGGTGGAAGGTGTGTGTGATCATAAGCTTGACAATTACTGCCCAGCCATCTTCAGAAGGGCCCTGGCCCATCTCCTAGCCCTGCACCCACAGATTAGTGTGGAGTGGGCACTTCTTATTACAGACACTAAACAGGCGTTCATGCATCCAAACTGTTTCGTGTGTCTATACTTCTTTGTCCGAGGACTACCTATCCCTTCTCATGCTTTGTCCAGCTGTTGGTCGGCTATTACTGTGGACAGACACCAAAGTGGGGACGGGGCCACCTCAGGAAGGAGAGCATGTCAGCGGGTGAACTCACCCTCTCCAGACTTTTTAGCAGTTTTCCTCTTTTATAGTGAGCATCCTGGCCACTTTGCTGTGTGTATGTTTGGGGCGGGGGGTGGGGGGCAGGCAGGGAGTGTCCCTGAGAGAGACCGGGATGAGACAAAGGAGGAAAACCAATGCAATGCGGCCACAGAAATACAACGGAATGAGTTTCAGGACCAGAAGGAAATACTGAAAAATGTTTTCAGTTATCTTTGGAAAAGTTCATGGTGGCTCTTGTCTAGGTTGTTTGAATTCCCTACCTCGAGCAAAAAGAAGAGGGGTTGAGCATGTGACACAGTGCACAGCAGCAGCCGGGGACTGGCTCTCGGGGAGCCAGGGCTGCTGTAATCCTGCCAGGCTGGGGGCGGGGGGGCTCTCTGGGGACAGGGGAGAGGGCAGCAACACTTTCAAAGTCGCAGTGTTCCTTCAAACCTGAAGTTTAGGCAGACTTTATCTTTTTTACCATGTGACTGGCATTGCTTAACTGAACCTTATTCCCAGTAAACTACAAAATTTTCTCATTTATAGGATGATGCTACCAGAGTGGTTATAACCACTTGCTCTTTGAAAAGCAGAAGAGAGGGCGCCTGGGTGGCTCAGTCGTTAAGCGTCTGCCTTCGGCTCAGGTCATGATCCCAGGATCCTGGGATCGAGTCCCACATCGGGCTCCCT